GATCCCAGAGTTTGAACTTGGAAATCTTGTAGGACTAGTAAATACAAAAGAAGCTGCAGAGCAGGGCAGCAGTCACACCATAAGGCTCTCAAACCCAGAGAGGACAGTGTGCTAGGAATTTATTTGAAGAGCCATGCTGAAAGTGTTAAGTTAGTAAGCTTCAAAAAAGTGTGTGGCTTTGTTCTGTTTCTCAAAATATCTTTCAGCCCTGGGCAGAGCCAGGCACAGCTGCCTTCCCTGCTGGTCTCTGTGCAGAACTGGTCCAGAAGCCTGGGCTGTGGCCCATGGAGACTCCACAGGCTCCTTCCCAAGGGCTTCTTTGGCTAGGATTTCTTAGGAAGTCGTCTCTGGAACAAGGATTACTCCTAGAGGTGAGAACTCAGTCAGTATGCCAGAGTTGGGAAATGAAAATGCGTAAGTGGAAGGCGGTAGGGACAGTGCAGTGGGCAGCCAGCCCAGTGTTATCACTAATACTGCCTTTAGTAATCTCCACGGCAGCCCCACCATGAAGCCAGAAATTTGAGTTTCATGAAATCAGATAGGGATTTGTTCTATTTTGTCGCTTATTGCCTTAGCTCTATTAGAAGGTATTACATATAAGGACTGACAAATGGATACATCTCTATAAATACAATTTTAACTGAATTGAACATGTGGGTGATAAATCAAGCTTCTATTATACTGTTCCTGCTGCAAACATAGGTGCTGTGTCACATAATGAAATTTGGCAATTTTCTGGTGTTATTACCATCATGATTCTCCTCCGTCTAATTTTAACCAACAGTTTTCATGTCTCCTGTTCTTACTAAGGATTCATCCAATTGGTGTTTAGTGTCTCCACTTCCACACTTTAATCACATTTTAACTTTTACTTTGTCCCAAAGTGTTCTCAAATGGGAAAATGTTAAAAATCCATGGGCCAAAAGGGACGCTATTTCATCAGTTTTCTCTCTAAGCAGGAGATATAATGACTGGAGTGAACATACAGAGCCCTGAAAAGGATTAATTTTTCTCCTGTCATGATAACAAGGAATGTGGAGCATGCCAACATGGTCAGCTCTGGTTTTCAGGTTTCTTGACAGGATCTGATGTTCTCAGTTTGAATTCTTATGTTTCATAAAAGAGTCCCAAGATAATGACCAAGCCTGTGGGGTCATTCAGAGATTTAAAGGGAGAGTAGTAAAAGAATATTGTAGCTGTGGGAGCATTGAAAAAGAAAAAAGTATTGGACAGAGAAGGGTGTCTTGGATAAGGGAGCTCATAATTTTTGAACATTGCAGTCAATACCCCCATGCTGTGCTTGTCACACAAGCACAGTCACACTCTGAATTCTTCAATACCCTCCACTTTCAATCATATAATATACTATAACTACATCTATTCTAAACACCTCTGCATTAAGCACCAGATTTTATACGTTCATTGTCCTCTTCTGGAAGTATGTGGGACTACAAAAGGGTACAACCACTTTCAATAAAATCTGGCAATTTGTGTAACAAGAGATCCTAAAATCCAGTAATTCAATTTTACAGCTCAGGAGATGCAAAGAAAGCAATAGTTAGGTTCTATTTCCACTAATGGAGATATTTGTTTCAATAAAGCAGCACCTTTAACCAATAGATCAACATTATAACCATTGCACAAATGTGTCAAGAGAGGAAGGAAGGAAGGAAAGAAGGAAGGAAGGAAGGAAGGAAGGAAGGAAGGAAGGAAGGAAGGAAGGAAGGAAGGAAGAAAACTAAACCTGAAGGCTCCAGAGAGTGACAAAGGCAGTCAGAATCTACAGTGTAATAGATACTTAGAAGAAGGGAACACTGTTGGGGATGGTTCCTAGTTTTATGACTTTTATTTGAAGAAAGACCTCAATCAGCAGTAGGTGGACAGTTATAACTCAGTTAGCAACATTCAGACGTACTGACTTGAAGAACTAGAATAATTTAGGGCTACCACAGCAGCTAAATGTGGGAGGAGAATATCTTTAAAAGAGATATCCAGGGGCGGCCGAGTGGCTCAGTGGTTAGAGCACGTGCTTTTAACAACAAGCTTGCTGGTTCAATTCCTGCATGGGATGGTGGGCTGCAGCTCCTTCCCCCCCCCCCCGACCCCCGCAACTACATTGTAAACGGCTACTAGACTTGGAGCTGAGCTGCGCCCTCCACAGCTAAGTTTGAAGGACAACAACTTGACTTGCAGCTGATGGGATCTGGGAAAAACACACTGTTCACTGTTCCCCAATAAGTTAAAAAAGAGAGAGACAGACAGATACAGAGGAAGGAATTCCAAATTGTACATAAAATGTCTGATCAAATCACTGAACTACAAATGTTTGATACAGGTGATGGGCAGTCAAAATACGGCTAATGGAACTCATCACAAATTCCAGCTGCTGAAAAATGCAGGGGAGAATATGGAACTTGAGTTCAACCAAGTTGACTGACTGAAAAAACGAAATAAAACACAATAATATTCTTCAAAGAAACAAACAGAATTTAGAGTCTACATCGCATTCACAATTCCCCTGGGGGAATTTTTTTTAGACACAATCTAAAATTATACAACATATGGAAAAAGTAGAAGATATGGCCCTATTTAGGAGAAAGGGCAATCATGGAGACCAACTCTGAAATAATCCAGATGTTGTATTTAATATACAAGGACTTCACAGCAGCTATTATATCTAAGGTGAAAGATGCAAAAGAAAATATGCTTATAATAATGACAAAATACAAAATGTCAGACAACAAATAGAAATAGTTTTCTTTTTCATTGAAATACTAAAACTAAAAACTACAACCACTCAAAAAACAAATCCAGGGCTTGCTTAAGAGAAATTCAGGATCACAAAAGAAAGACTAAGTAACAATATCATGTATTCTAGGAACACTCACTGATGCAATATTCACCCTGCCGCCTCCCTGGAGAACAGGCTAACTCACTCCTGAGGACAACTGTAGCCTTCCAGCTCCCTGGAAAGAGTGAGGCTGACCAGGAAAAGGGAACACTGACTTACGTCGTTCCTGAGGGAGCGCATACAGAACTCCTGACCCTGCCTCTATCACTGTAAGTCATAATGTGAATCAGCACCCTAAAAATGGAGATTTATCTGGGCAAACAGAGAGAAAGCTCTCTAATGAAAGGGAATTACTGTGGAAATAGACAAAAACAATGGACTTTCATCTAGTATATTCACTTAGATTACTGAAGCTATTCCAGTACTTAAAATAGAAGACTAGGTAGCTATGAAGAACATAAAACTTTTTATAGTAAAGAAATATTTATTATGTGCATAGTAATAATATAGTTAGCTATAGGCAGAATGTTGTACAGTGTACCTATAAAACTTATTCATCTTGTAGAAGTGAAATTTTACACTTGTGGAACTGCAACACCTTAAAAATGTATGAGGTTGGATCTCATGGTAAGTGTTTTTACCACAATAAAAGAGGACAATTTGATTGATAGAACACTATTAAATAGCAACCTCAAAGAGAATGTTTAAAGAAAATAAATAACAACCTAGAATTGCATACTTAGAAAATTATTTACCTATAAGATGAAATATATTTGAAGATTAAAAAAACCAGAAATATTTATTACGCAAAAAGATGAAATTAAAGAGTGATCTGTGATTCCATAATCAACTTATACTATTACACTATAAAAAAGGTATTAATATTTGAAGTAGAAATATTCATTGTCAGCGTTCATTATTTCAAATCACAGTGAAAATTAATTAACACCAATCTGGATCAGTATTTAAGAGAAAGGAAATAAGGAAGTTATTGCAAACATTCTATTATTTAATTCCCACCATATCACTATCAGGTGAGAGCTAGCATGTTTATTTCTGATGAGAAACTGAATCCAATTACATTTTGCTTAATAAGGCGCAGTGAGTAACAACATCATAATAATGATATTCTACCTAATTTCAAAGTTCAGGCTCTTAACTGTCCCCACTGTTCACCCTCTATGTCACCTGCAAGAGCTCCCTGATCATGAAGAAGCTCAACATGGTTCAAGCCAATACCACAAGCTGCTCCTATATCACTAGTGGTTACATGGGTTGAACACATCAATCTATATCTTCTGACACCTAAGAATTTCCCATGATGCTCCTGGCTCCTTCTGCAGAGTAGCGTCTCCTGGGTTGTCCCTCCAACCCTACATCCTAGGGAATCTGGCTCTTACCTTTTTCGGAGGAGTGCACTGCACAAAGGGCACCTGTGCTAGAGAAACACAGATCTAGTTCTCATCCTGCCTCCTCCACTCATTAGCTATGGGACATTGGGAAAGACCTCATAAGTTTATATATTCATTTAACTACCTGATAGGGATTTTTTCTTATTATGGTATTTCTCAAGATTAACTGGGATAAACAGTCTCTCTCTCTATATATATATTTATATGCATAATTTATATATTATAATATATATACACATGGTGTATAGGTTTAGTGTTTCTGTGTGCATGTGCACACCTTTCCCAGGCCAAGTACTTCCTTTTTTCATTCCCCTGGGATAAGTTATTCCTCTTGATGTCTTGATGTGGGCTCTGTGCAGTGATTGGCCATAATTTATAATTTATGTCTCTTATAAAAGTTTGTTCATTTGCTATCCTAAATTTATTCCATAATTTGAAACTGATTAATAAAGAAAAGTGTGTGAGATGGTGTGTGTATACGTGGTATACTCAAGGAAAAGGCCTGAACACCAAAAGGCTGCTCTTTGTAAGACATGGCTCCCTCTGCTGGACAGATTTTGGAAACTCACTTTCGGTTTTCTGACTGATTTCCTCAAAAAGGGACTGAAAAACAGTCCCAGCCTCAGTTTAAAAAGTTCGATAACACAAGACTGAAATTGGAATGGTCTTGAAACAGTGCCTGAGAACTCAAAAAATGGAACTTCAGTAGAATCACTTACTGTTCCTCTCAAGAACACTAATCAGTTGTATAGGACACTGACACAGCTCACACTTTTCAGTAATCATGAGAGCAAATATTTATTATATTGTGCAGGACACTTACGTAGGTACGTTTCATTGAGTGGAAGTTGTAGACAATGACATTAAGAGTTAGGAATAGTTTTAAAACTCAATATCTATTTTGGGAAAAAGAAACCCAGATTTATTCATTATTACACAGCTTATAAAAGACAGGATGAAGTGAAACACTCTGAACACAGAATTTTCACTCTGAGTATATATATTACTTTTGTTTTTCTTTCCTTGCTATATCCTGGGCAACAAACAGACCTACACTCAAGGACTCCTTTGTTGTTGGTGGTGGATAGGGGTTATTATGAACTGTCCTAGGATCATGGATGGTGGAAGACAGGCTTAGCCATATCTCTTCAGGACACTGATAAAGGAAAATATGGATAAATAAAAGGCCAAAGATGCTATACCAATCCTGCTCTGTCTTTAGGAGGGACTCTGATGTCTTTCTTTGAGAATACAAAAATGGATGAATGAGCTCCTCTCCTAACTCAAGCCAGAAACAGTGCAGATCCCAAGGATGAGGAAAAGTTCTAAAAAAGAGACAGCAAGGAAGAGATGGTATGAAGGGTACAGATGACACTGGGACAGGGATGCTGCAAGTGGGTGAGGGAAGGAAAAGGTTCAGGAGTTGGGCTGGCACAGAGTCATGGGAGCTGGACAGTGCCAAGGATTGAAATACGGATAAACAGTTTGAGAAAAGCGACATTTAGAGAACTTGTAGATGAGTGACCCGTGGTTTGTGACGTTAAAAAATGAGACAGTGCCTGCTTCATAGTCTAGGAAAACGCCAACACGACAGGGAACAACAGCCATGGAAAGAGTCAAGACCTTGGGATCAGCGGTGGAAGAGTCCTCAAAGGCATTGTACTCAGATTCATTCTGTAATCCTACAACCCAGTAGCCATTTTCAGGTCTGAATCTATAGTAAACATTTTGGTAACTTACATTTGGGTCAAAAACAAACCCAGAGCTTTTTTTTCTATTGAGGTTGCTTGTGTTACTGAATACCCCCAAGATCCAGGCTCTCTTCCCAGACACATCTACTTCCCAGTAATATTTCCCTGAGGAGAAATTTTGGCAACCCAAGACATCAAAAGCAGAAAAGTTGCATGGATATACATTCTTAAACATAAAACTCTTCTCAACTGTCACTTGTCTGTGATCTTCAGAAAGGACAACACCCGAAAGAGCATTGACTGGATTCAGCATAAAGTCCACTGTAGGAAAAATTACACAGTCAGGTGAATTACATAGGACATGTATGTTTTGTGACATTGTGAGGATGATACAGGAGTTGACTGGGAGGAGCTTGCATTAATGGGTCAGAGATGAGTAGAACACAGAAACTCTTGTATGTATGCATGTTTGGGAGGGACACAGATCATGGGACCTAATAGTAACCACACTTCGGAAAAGGGATCAGAACATGGATCTTCTTACCCCAGTAGCTTTGGACTTCTGTCAACCCTGAAATGACAAAAGTTTCAATGTTATTAGAAGAAAAGAGGAAACACTGACACCTGTCTTTTCTCTCTAGTGGGGACAGAGGAGGGGAGCTCTGTGAGGTTATCAACTAGTGAATGAGAGGACACTTGACCATTCCCCCTTAGATATGATCACATCTTCAGCACAGGGCATGACTCTCTCCTTGTCAGGCCTACCTCCTGTCTTTTGTCCTCATCTAGATACAACATCCACTGCCCCATTTTGCTCTGATACTATGAGAACCCGACACCCACACCCTTCCCCTGGCTCTCCTCACCTTTAAACAATTGTAGTATCCTGCTCAGATCTGGAGCTCGGAATGCACTCTTCAGTTTCTCAGAAAGAATTTTTGGCTTCTTCAAGGTCCAGCTCTCGCTCCTAGAAGAGACAAAAATTGACTGCCCACACCTCTGACCTTGTGTCTCTCCAAGACCACTGTCTCCCTCACCTTTCACTCATTGATGCACAGGAATCCTCTTCACTGAAGAGCCTAAGGGAGAAGCAAGAGCCCTGAACCTGCAACCAGAAGAAATGTCCTCAGGTCTACCTTTCTATTTACCCACTGGGTGACCTTGGGAAGATCTTCTCAAAGAACCTCATGTTCTTCCTTCTAAAACAGAAAAATTAACCCCAAGCGCTCAAGCTCTTAAAAATAATACAATATTAGATAAAAATAATGGTACCTATAAAAGGTGTTTGATGCTTCTAAAAATATATATTTGATATATGGAGAAGTAACTGCCATCTCAGTGATTCCTCCAGGGACAGGACAAAGATGTGGGTTCTCAGCCTGATGGTTGGGCAGTGGAGAGGCTGTAGAACCTGGCTACTGGGAGTTTTAAGTTATCAAGTGTGGGGCTCCTGTGCTGAAGTCTGAATGGTCCCCAAAGCCTTTTACTCCGGTACGGGTGCGGAGAATAACATATGAGGTCACATTCTCTGGGAAACATTACAAACATTTGGGGAAGGATGCTTAAATTAATAGTGGTCTGAATTTCATGTGCTTGGGAAGACTTTGATGTGTCAAGTGGGTAGGCAACTTTACCCACAGAAAGCCATTTTTCCTACAAGCTGCTAAAGTGTGTAAACAAAAGAGATTAGCTATTGGCACCAAAGCCAAAGCCACTATTCCCCGAGACTTGAGTCTATTTATTTACTTTTTATTTTGAAATCCAAAGGTCACCACCTACAAAGACCTTGTTTATTCTATCCTCAGGGAAGGAAGAAAATATAAAGGAGATGCCTTGTGGAAAATTTGGGGGCATGGCAGATGAAGAGGACAAGGTCCTTCCTGTGACAAGACAGACACCTATAAAATATTACAGAAATAAGTACTGAGGCAGAGACTAAGAATAAATACAATGAATAAAGTCATGGAGTTCTGATACTGCAGCCCCTTATTTTTAAGGCTTTCATTGACCTTAACTCGGTTATCTCCCACCACCCAAATTTCCTACCATTAAAAAGTTTTAACTGTGATCAGCAATTGGAAACAGTGTAATGCTCAAATTTCCAGGTCTCTCATTTTTTAAAAACCCTGATTGTTTCCAAGATTATTCTATGGCTATCATTCTGTCTTCCCACACACAATAAGGACCATACCTGGTCTCGCATACATACCTTCTTACGACATTCATCACATCCTGGGGAGAAAAGAGAAAACATGGGTCAAGTTGCCAGATTGAGAAGACAAAATTGGTAAGTTAAAATTTAGTTTTGAATCAATAACAAATATGTTTTAGGATAAGCATGACCACTACAATATTTAAGATACTCTACTACTGAAAAATAATGTGTCATTTATCTGAACTTCAAATTTAACTACACTTCCCAAATTTGGTCTGCCAACCCTTGAAGAAGGTGATACGCCTTCCTACCTTACAAAGCTTTACTCACTTGCTCCTCACACCCCTAGGACCCCTTGATAGCATGTGAATAAATAGATGGTCAGAGTGTGGGGGGACAAAATATAGAGATAAGACTCAGAAAAAACATCCTAAAAGACTCTTATGAGGGTGTGGGAAAAATGCTCCAAGGATCTGCAGATGAAATGTATTTAAAAGAAAGAAAAGAGATCTACTGTTTCTTTAATAGACATTCCTCAGAAGCCCTCCTTAAATTTTATGCTTCTATGTATCCTAGAGACAAATAAAGTTGAAATCTTCTATTTGTCAGACATCATCCCACGCTCTGGGGAATCAAAGATGAATAATTAACCATTATGGTCCTCAAGAAGTATACTTTCTTTGGCTCAGGAACAAGCGAACTAGCACTTGAAGTGAATGTTTCTCTGGCCTTCCTCTGCTCACTCTATACACCTCCTACTCACTCCCTACAGGGAACGTCATCCATTTTGAAGTATGAAATAAGCTGCAGGAACCAGCAGCAGAGAAGGCCTAAAATGGAATTTACTGTATCCCAACTATTCACATTCCATTGTCTAGAATGGTATCAATATCCACTTTGTGGCTGTCTCAAAACCATTTCTTACCCTGAATTCCAGTATTGTGTTAAGATAGTCCAATCCAAAAGATCAAAACTTCAGATATAAGACTGTAAACTTTTATAAGAAAACATAGGGGAAAAGCTTCATAACATTGGATTTGGTAATAATTTCATGGGTAGGACACAGAAAGCACAGGCAACAAAAGAAAAACTAATAAACTGGACCTCACCAAAATTAAAAATGTCTGTGCATCAAAGAACACCATGAAGAGAGTGAACAACCAATACACAGAGAGAATATAGTGCAAATCATATATCTAATAAGGTATTAATATCCAGATATGCAAAAAAAATCTTCTAAAACTCAACAAAAAAAATAAACAACTCAATTCAAAAAATGGGGAAAGGATTTGAATAGCCATTTCTCCAAAGAAGATGTACAAATGGCCATTAACATATGAAAAGATGCTCAACATTATTGACCATTATGGAAATGTAAATCAAAACCACAATGTCATACCAATCGATACCCCTTAGGATGGCAAAAAAAAAAAAGAAAAATCTCACGAAAAATAACAAGTATGGGTGAGAAGGATATGAAAAACCTAGAACCCTCACACATTGCTTGTATGAATGTAAAATGAAACTAAGGAAAATTTGGTGGATCCTCAGAAAGCTAGAGTTACCATTATAATCCAGCAATCCCATCCTGAGGTATATATCCAAAAAATTGAAAGCACAGACTCAAACAGATATTTTTATGCCAATATTCATTGCAGCATTATTCGCTATAGCCAAAAGGTGGAAACAACCTGTGTCCATCAACAGATGAATAGAGAAACAAAACATGGCTTATACATGCAATGGAATATTATTCAGCCATAAAAAAGAATGAAGTTCTGATCCATGTTACAGCATGAATGAACCTTGAAAATGTTATGTAAATAAAATAGGCTAGACAGAAAAAGGACCAATATGGTATGATTCCACTTACATTATAGAGCTACCTAGAATTATGAAAATTCATATAGGCAGAACTAGATTATCAATTACTAGGAACTGAGGTGATGGGAAATGGGAAATGAGGAATTACTGCTCAATGGTTACAGTTTCTGTTGGGGTGATGAAAAAAAATTAGAAATAGGTAGTGGTGATTTTTGCACAACATAGTGGATGTAATTAATGTCCCTGAGGTATATACTAAAAATTGGCTAAAATAAGAAATTTTATGCTATATGTTTTACCACAATTGTTTAAAAATATAATAATGTAATACAACAAATGCCATGGAATATTATACATTAAATGAATACATTATAGGAGATATGAATTAGATCTCTATAAATGTGCTAAAATACATGGATGAGAACTGTTTCCTAGGGTGGAAGATCTAAACTGTCATCTAATATGCAAATCTACTTTCAAATCCAACATTTTTATCATGTTCATTCTTATCAGTCTAAAACTATCACCTCATGGTTGGCCCAGCTACCAATAGATATATGATAAAATGGTCCATTCCAAACATCATTAAAAAATAGTCCATATAACAGGGAAACTGTCATCTCAACTCCCAGTTGGCGAAGTTGTGGAAGTTAAAGACCAGAAGTCCATCACATATATCATTACAAGTTACAACAATTTGAAGAGGAGTAACATAAACTCAAAGTGTTTCCTGATTGGCCCAAATGGCTGCCCCAGATTTATTTTTGTCAGTAGTGGTCCATGACTCTGCCCAAGAGGAAAACTGTAGATATTGTCCATGATGTGACTCTACCTTTCCAATAGGTACAGTTGTGCCGTTTGCATTTTAAAGTGTATATATTGCCTCATGGATGGAACAATCACAAGCCATCATTTCCCAGGATTGTGAGTTATCTTTCCCAAGTTCTTCCTTAAAGTGTTGTGTGATTTTGCTTTCTTTTTGCCAATATATGAGCGACTCACCAAAATTAGAGGTCTCTTGTAGTCCTATAGATTTTGAACCTCGAGTTTGTATCCAAGAGTTAAGTTTATTTGTTAACATATGGACATTATCACAGAGGTAATTCAAAATGGCAAATAGCCCCTATCCCTAATCTGCATTCCAATAAATAGACATCTAAAGTGTTTTTGTACTATACTCTGGTAGAAAGTCTACCACTTGACCTTTCTATGACTGGTTCCTCAGTCTCTAGCTCTTCATCAGTCCCAATCATAAGTCATGCTTTGCTTTCATCCTCTCTGACTCTGTTTAGCTTGGAGTAGAAAAGCTGGATTTTGTTGCAAAATGGAGGAGCCTCTCCTTAGCAACTTTAGCTGGAATTTCAGTTCTGTAGCTCATTACTAAAAGCTAAATAAAACAACTCTGTATACAAAGTCATAAAGTATTCAAGCCTTATTAAAAACCAAGTTTGAATCTCAGTATACAATCAGTGATTGTGTAAGAGCTGACTCACTCCCACCTTCCATTTGTAGCCCAACAAATACAGAGAAAAATTGACAAATTACTCAGTTTTGTGTTGATTTCCAATGACCAAATACAAAATCAAAAAGGCTTGCTAGAACAGATGGAGGTAGATTGTGCTCAACACAATAGATGAAATATTCAGTAATTTATCTGTCACAGGGAATAACTGGTCTGATGAACTCAAACGACCACAGTGGAATGCTTTTTCTGAGCTTATACTTCTCCTGAGTTAGTGATGAGACAAAGAGTTCACAGGAGCAGGCTTGTGAGCTGGCAGGATAGGACAGACAAAGAGTTAACAGGTGTGAGCTTGTGGGTTAACAGGAATGAGCTAAACATTAACCACTTGGCTCTGACTTCCCTGGCTAGCACTGCACCTGCAGGAGGACAAGCACCTTACATCATCATAGGTGAGAACAGAACAGTTCCCAATCACTATGGCAGCCCCCTGCAAGCTGACATCCATCATAGATGGGAACAGGACAGTTCCAAGGAGAAGACAATTGTAATGGCAGCCCCCCTGCAAGCTGACAAGCACCCTACATCCTGCATGGAAAAATATAAAACCCCAGCACTCCCTCTCATGGGGGCAGCTGTCCCCCCTGGGACTCTGCCCTGGCTGAACTTTTGCCAGTATCTCTCTTACCCCTCTGTCTCCCCAGCTGTCTTCCACCAGACTGCCCTGGCAAACTTCTGCCATTATCTCTCTTACCCCTTTGTATCCACCGCTCTCCCTCTCAGACTGCCCTGGTAAAACTTCTAACAGTTCCTAGCAGAACTCTCTCTCTCTCTCTCTCTGACTTTCAGTAAATCATCTTATTCTTGTAGAGTCTTGTAAATTATTTTACATTCTGCGAATGACCAGGGATTAATTCTATGCCAAGACAGTTAGTGTCATTGTCAGGTTTCATTTTGCTATCCCTGAATGACCAAGCATTATTTCTGCCTGCTTAGTTTTGAATGGCAAAAAATGTCACATTCATAAACATCAAATAGAGAAAGATGAAGAGAACAAAATAAGAACTGATTAAATCATATGAGGAAAAAATAAAAACAAAAAGAAAAAAAAAGAGAGGGAAATGAAAGAAATTTAAATGTTCAGAGTGGAAAATAAGTGCAGTTGTATTTATTTGCAGATGGCATGATGCATTATGTAGAAAAACTCAAAGAACACACACACACACACACACACACACACACACACACCTGAAAACTAACAAAAGAGTTTAGGAATATGTGAAGTAGTAGGCCAATATTAAAATCTATTGTATTTTTTATTATTAATAATGCAAAATCCAATACAAAATTGACATTTATTTATAGTAGAGTAACAATCAACTCAAATACTTAGAAATAAAATTAATAAAATCAGTAAAAGATTTCTGAGCTAGAAACTACAAAATACTGCTGTTAGAATTTAAAGACTACCTAAATAAATAAGAGATTTTATATTGTTCAGATGGTAGTACTCCTCAAATTATTCTTTAAATTCCATATAATGCCTATCAAAATCCCAGCAAGTCTTTAATGAAAATTAACAAGATATCCAAAAAATTTCACGCAAAATTCAGTGGACCTAGGACAGTGTTTCTGAGTTGTGGCACCACTGCCATACTGGCCCAAGATAATTCTTTGTCATGGAGTCCGCCCTGTGCGTTTATTTGGCTTCTACCCACTAGATGGCAGCAGAAATCGCTAAATCTTCCCTGGGGGGCAGTGGTTAAAATAGTCACCATAGAAAACTGACTTAGAATAGAATTGTTTTGAAATAAATTAAGAGTTGTTTTTTTTATTCAAACAATTTAGACAAAGAAAACAAATGCGGAAGATCACCCTGCTAATTTCAAATTTTTCTATGAGGCAGAGTAATCAAAAGCTTACAGTATCAGTGCAAGAATAAACGTAGAAGTTCATGTAACAGATTGATTATCCAGAAATATATCCTTATGTTTAGAGCAAATTGACTTTTGACAAAAGTGTCAAAAGAATTCAGTGGAGGGAGTACCTTTTCGATGAATGTTGAACTGAATATTTTCATGGTTTAACAACTCAATATATTTACTAAAAATCTTTGAATTGCATACTTACAATAGATAGATTTTATATGTAACCTATACCTCAAGAAATATATTTTTTAAGGCAGAAGTTAAGATCTAGCAGGTGGAAATTGGTTATTTCATTATTGGAACCAAAGTTAAGAAATGTTTTTTAGCTAGCAAAGGAGAATGGCAAGAAGTCAAGCAGAGAAATTAAGGAAATTTCCTGAATTTCCTAATATATTTCATAGCTCAAGATCACCATTATGCACTTAGTTCCATGAAAAACAATTTTAACATTCATACTAGGTACAATGTCTCCATCAAGTCTTTACAGGTCTTCCTACACCCTTTTCTAGCCAACACAAACACACACACTTGCACAAACACACAGAAACACACACACATATTCATACATGCTCATCCCTCACCTCGCTATTACACAGTCTAGCACTACATTTGCCACCCCTCAACAAAACAACAACAAAATCAAATATAATCAGAGATTTGCGCTGTTTCATTAAGCTTAGTGAAGAGATGTCTTACAAGTGCAGGGTCCCAGAGAACCAAAATCTATAGAGAATCTGCTCTCCAATTTTAGTGCAGACTTCTTAAAATGATAAATAATTGTCACCCCAATAAAATTTAACTAAAAATATAATAATAATAATAATAATAATAATAATAATGGAAATTCTCCTTGCCATTTGTACATTGAATTCTTATGACCCTTGAAATGAATGACAGAGAAGGGGTACTTGAGGGGTCACAGGAACCTTTTAATGAGGAAGAAAGTGCAGGGAACAGAAGGAAAGGAAACTTGATTTCTGTGTTTTCCCCAGAATCTCAAATGTAGGGGCTTCTCACAGGTCTTACCTGCAGTGTGTCTATTGATAACCCCCATATCTGATGCTGGAGATCCAAGATGAGCTCCCTCATGCACTGCCTCTGCCAAGCCAGCTGATCTTTAGCCACTGCCAAGTCATTCAGCACATTCACTTCATCATCCTCCAGCTTTTGCAGCTCCTTCCGCTCCTCCTGGTCCAAGATGCCTCTCATTTCATCAAACCATTCCAGAATCCTCTGTCTCTCAGTCTGCATATGATTCTTTGGGGATGAAGAGAAAGGGGCAGTCAGTCTGTCTAGCTGAGGAACTACTTTTCATGGGCCTGGGAACCAAGACAAAAACTGTTTTCCTCAGGCACTTCTCACAGGGATGGGAGGTGAAAGGAAGTGAGCAGTGCTTGGGAAAACCATTTTCCTACTGTTTCCCCTTGAGCTCCTCCCAAAGTAATTCAGCAATGCACTTCATCAAGGTCAACCAGGAGACACAATGTGATACCTGGATGAGGTCTGAATTGCAGACACTTGTCCTGGATAGACATGTCACACTGTGTAAGAAACTTTCCCACCCATAACTCCTAACACGGAAAACTGGGCCTTCCTCAATGTGTTTTCTGAAAGTATCAGAACTTCAAACTTAATGACACAAATGGGACATGGGACTCATGAGTCACTTTTACATTGCTTCCCTCTATGCCTTTGTCTTCAAATAGCTGATCTCACTTGGGATAGTTCTACTCTCCAGCTCCCAACCCTCAACAGGAAAGGGATGGAATGAGGACTAATCAAATGTCCTCTGGACTCCTGAATTCTGAGGTAACAAGGAGGAAGGAGCCTTTTTGTGATTGGACCAAGGTGCTGCCCAGTTTTCCGTCCCAGAACTCCCTCAGGAACAATCTCTTCCTGCCTCCCAGGTAGCTCTCTCGTCACTGATGTCAGCTTCTATCTTGTCAGCTTCCTGCTCCTCCTCTGTCAGCCTCTTCAGAGCTTCCTGTAGCTTCTCCTGTGAGAAAGAAACCACCAAAGTCAAACTCTGAGCTTTCTCAGCACCTGGATAGAAGAAAAATGGGGAAGAAATCAGGCTGATCTCAGAAGAGACTAAAGTTTACAGAAATGATACTGGCAACTAGAACCGAGAATGTAGATGAAAATCCATCGGTGATGGAAGTTTCCATGCTTTTCTCAAGAGTAGCCTGCACTTCTCTTTTCCTAGAGGAAGAGCTCATCCTGCAGCATGAAAAGCCCTTTCCTGTCATGGATACTTTCCCCACATCTAACCAACCATGTTGTGCTATCAGAACTCATCTTGGGAAGAAACTCACTCACATAACTTCTGTTTGCTAAAATTTTGCAGTCTATGCTTATTCTTGAAGAAAATGAAAGAATGCACAGAAACGCCCCTCAGGCCTCAGAAGCTGAGCCAAGCATATGAAAAGGGAAAGCAGAGCTCAGTTCTGTGATGACAAGATGAATAAATACAATTTAAAAAGTGAAGGTTTATTATTCAGCTGCAGCTTCGGGTGTACACTGCAGTGGTCAGGCATCTACACCATCCACGAAGGGTCTCCCTAATAACACAAATGTCCATCAGATCCCCTACAAAATTTTACAACATTATTGATTATATTCAATGTGAACTATAATTTAATGTGTATATATATATATATATATATATATATGTACACACACACACATATATACACATATATACACACACACATATATTTATATATATATATAAAATATACATATATAGTCACAGGATGTGGATTACAGCACAGGGAATAGAGTCAATGGAATTGTAACAACTATATACGATGTCAAAGCGGTAGTAGATTAGGGGAGGAGGGTTATGACTTTGTGAGGGGTGTAAATGTCTAACTATTACATTCTTTTGTAGCTCTGAAACTAATTAAAACAAAAACAAACAAACAAACAAAAAAGTAAAGGTTTCACTTCAGTCACCATTCTGCCCAATGCTTCTCCACCCTGGGGCCTACCTGACATTCCTGGGCCACTTGTTCAATGGGGAACATTTGGTGACCATGGTGCTCCACAGACAGCACACAAAGCTTGCAAATGGCCTTCCCATCCTCCTTACAGAAGATAAGGCGGTTTTCCCCGTGCTGCTCACAGAGATCTGCCCCCTGCCACTGTTGTGACGTCGTGTTGACCTCCATGAGTTTCTTCACTCTGTTGGCCAGCTGCAGATTAGGACACAGGTTCCAAGGCTGGTATCTGCTCTGGCACACAGGACAGTGGCATTCCCCTCCTGGGGCGCTCACGGACTCATTGTTTGCAGTGATGCAAGCTTGGCAGAAGCTGTGGCCACAGTCCAGGCTCAGGGGTTCTGTCAGGAGCTGCAGGCACATGGGGCAGGTCAGCTCCTCCGCTATGTTCATTTGTGCTGGAAAATCCATGGCCTTGCTCCGCTGAGGCTCCTCTTGCTCACACACTCCTGCAGGCCTGGGGATGATGAAGGGGGCGGGATACGAAAGGCAGGAACAGAAAGGATGCTGACTGTGCAGAGAATCAGAACTGCACAGAACATCAATGTTCCACAAAGGAAGGAAAAGAGAGAAGAAGCGTAGATCATGACAGAGGGAAAAGGGCTCTTTGGAATAATTTCAAACATTTTACTCTTAATTTGTCACATAACAAATTTCACCCCGTCAGGGCAATGATTGCCATTTTCTCTTCTTCTCTTGGAAAGACAAATTGACGCCCTTCCTACCAAGACCTTTGTGCAACCCATCATTAGCCCTGCCTTTTCCTCCCCACCCGAAACATGTCCTCCAGATTAAATGTGCTAACCCCTCTGTGGCCCCCAGACTTTTGCACTTGCTGTTCTCTCTGCAGAGAATAATCCTACCCCTGCCATTTGCATGACTTAACTTTATTTTAACCATTTCATTGAGTTGTATTTACATCCATTTTAGGAGTACAGTAATTTCTAATAAATTTATAGAATGGTATAACTAACACCAAAATGCAATTTTAGAACATTTTTATTTCTTGAAAACAAACCTAATGCCATTAGCAGTCTGACGCTGAACCTCATGCTACCATTAATCTCCCTTGTGTTATTACTGATTTCTGATGAATTCATAAAAATGAAATCACAACACATGTTCTTTTGACTCTGAATTCTTTCACTTTGCTCTCATTGAGGTTCATCTCTCCTGCCTTTCTTTCCCGTGCAAAAAATAAATTGTTGCTATTAAAAGCACAAAACCCACTGCTGCCTCAGAGAATCTGCACTTGTGTCTGTCTCTGCATGGACTGATCTTCTCACTGATGTCAACATGACTCACTCTTACATTTTACTCAGTCTCTTCTTGGCATGTCTTCTTATTGAAAGGACTTGCTCTTACTTATCTGTAGCAAACCTGCTGATACTATCGCTTGCTATACAGTTGCCATCTTTTTCTTACTTTTACTACATACTATATAACATCTTTCTTTAAATGTGTACCTCCTCTTTCTAAAATGTGATACATGCATAGATCAGTTGTGTTTTGTTCACTGATGTATCGTCAGTGCCTAGAACAGTGCATCACACACAGGGACACAACGGTTGATGAATATATAAACTAGAACCAACTTCTCTTTCCATGGATGATTACTACTTTTCTTATCAGTTTTTCGTCTTTTTTTCCATCAGTTAACACTTCTCCATGACTCTGTGTGGTGAACACATAATACAATATATAGATGATGTATTATAGTAATGTACACTTGATACTGATAAATTTACTAATGTCACCACAAAGAATTTAATATATAAATGAATTAACAGTTCTCCAATAGCTGAGACGTGTTTGCCTCCTAACACACCTGTGCCACACAGAGCCTTCCCATGCTTTTAAACTCACTCCAAAGAGACACCTACAGAAACAGCAAGAATCACAAAAAGAAATCATTTTATCACTAACAATTTTATAATCACTTATAATTTAGAGATCACCTTGACCTATTTATTTCTCATATTAACATTTTTTGACAAATAAGAGTACTCCCTTCATCAGGTGTGTCAAGAGAATAAATGACTTATAGAGATCATTCTTGTATCATAGGTAGAATTGGGGTGACGTGTCAGCCTCAGGAAACCTATTGAGAGTTCTCTCCACTACTGTACTGATTTAAGCAATGGCCATCAGAGGTAGAAGGGCCAGAACTAAATTGATACCCAGTGCTATGGGCATGTAGAAATGGGGAGATCAAGGCCAGCTGGGACGTTCTGGGGAGTCTTGTGTTTGTAGATGTTGAGCCTTTTCCTTGACCTGGACATAAGGCAACATGTCAATATGCACCTAAATGTTTGTTTTTAGGGAGGGAAGGGTTCGTATACTTAGGATCACACACATGCCACATACCTGAGTAATACACATTCCAGGGAGGCATCTGTCAGTCATGGGAGAGAAGTTTCAACAGATACTGGAGAGAGAAAGTCTGTCCCATTTCATACACTTTGAATGCTATTATGTGATGAATTGTGTCCTGTGAAAAGATGTGGAAGTCCTACCCCCAGGATGTGTGAAGGTAAGTTTATATGGAAATAGGGTCTTTGCAGATGAGCACATTAAAATGAAGTCATTAGGGTGGGCCATAATCCAATATGACTCTGTCTTATGAAAAGGGGAAATTTGTACACCGATAGACATGAACACATGGAGAATGGCATCTGGAGACACAGCAGGGATCACAGCCATTTAACTATACACCAAGGAACTCCATTGATTGTCAGTCAATTATCAGAACCCAGCAGAACAGTAAGGAACAAATCCTTCCCCCACAGTCCTGAGAGGAGCCAACCCTGCCAATACAACTAATGTCATATTTCTGGCCTCCAGAACAGTTCAAATAAAAATTCAGTTAAGTGGTTGGTTTTCCATTGCAGCACCAGAAAAATGACACAAGTGATTATTTTTGCTGTATCCATTCATTTTAGTCTATCATTGAAGAAGCATTACACAATTGAAACCCTCCCACTTAAGAGAGACGGACAGACAGACAGAAACACTCTGTATGCTCCCTTTTGGAGATGGTACAATGTAGGAGTTTTTACAGAGGAATGTAAGGGCCAACATAGTCCTTAGTTTCCTAATCTCACTATAGCCTAGTTGTCTGCACACAAGCTTTCTTTATCTGTACAGTTCAGACAGGAAAAATGAAAATGTCTCCCCAATGGGGGGAAAGTTCTATGACGGTTTCACCCACCATCCTTGAAACTTCCCTTTTTCCCTGGGTCAGAAACTGCCAATGGGATGGTGAACCTGTTCTTGGCATCCAGGCACCTGAGGTTCTCAGAAACATTGCGTCCCCTCCCATTTCTCCATATACAGAGCTCCCTCTTCTACCACCTCTGAGAGTCCAGGGTTTAGTTGCCCCTCATTAAGGAGCCACCCACAAGAGCTCCCGCTCTCAAATCAATTTGTTTCACAGACTCATTTTGTAACAGAGGCAGTCTTCATGAAGCTACCCCTAGTCTCAGCCCTTTCTCTCAATCAGTTCATCAGAAAATCCTATGGCACTCTCTTCAACTTAGGTCCTATCCAACTCAGTCTTCTACTTGGATCCAGGAATAGCTTCCCCACTAGTCCTCTTGAAACTGTTAGTGGTCTCATGTAGGTTGCTGTCACTTCTCAAACCTTTGGCCAGAGTGATTTTTTAAAGTAGACATCAAACATGTCACTCCTCTCTTCAAATGCATGTTATCAGTGAGTCGATCTTTATCATGGTCTAGTTAAGTCCACAATACACATCCCCGACTGCCCCAGCCTCTGGGCCCACCTTCACCCCAACCCACACTGGTCAGCTTTATGTTCCTTAATCGCTCAGGACAAAAATCCATCATTTCATTGAAGAATCTGTTCAAAATCACCTTCCCACACTGACATGTAAACTGAAACCTATTTAAAATTGCAAAGCCCTTTTCCAGGGAATTATAGATATCTTGCTCTATTGCCCTATTGGTTTATTATTGTTGTTACTTCTTTGTTTTAGATTTTTACCATAGTAATCTTCATCTTGTTTCATACTATCTTACTCTTTTACTGTTTTTTTACTTTATTTCCGACCCAGAATATAATGTTATGTCGTTACTTAATATTTATTGTGTGTTTAGTAAATGTTAATATAGTTTTTACCACAGCTATATGGTTCTTTCATGAATTTAATAATTTATTTAATTTAATAAGTATTCAAGAATTTTAAAAATCCATCTTCTCTGGTTTTCTGGGCCCTGTATTAGCTCCTGAGTAGACAGTGAATATACACCAGACATGAGCCTTGTCCAGGTATGTGGCAGAGACTCATGATCCCTGAAAAGGGGGAGAAAAGGGAAGTTTACATCAAAATACATGTAACAGAGATCAAGGTACCCAGTGCTCAAAGGGGAGCTTAAGATGGAGTGCATTCTGAGACATTACCAACTCCTTTCCTTAGCTCTGTGCACAGGAAAAGTGAGGAAGGGGTTGTGTAATAAACAATGGGAAGGTCTGTCTAAAGGTGAAAAACAAGTTCTAAAGCAGGAGAGGACACCAGAGGGTCATGGGGTGACCTGACGTAAGAGTAAGCTGCGGCACGCAGAGAAGAACAAACTCCCTGTGCCTGGACCTCCAGGGACAAATGATCACGGGGAGCTACACCCATGGGCAACAACTTGATCATCCAGCCTGTCCCTTCAGGCCGGCTAAAGGGCTGGTCATTTATCAGGAAGGTGGTGCCAGCTTCCTGGCAGATACCAGGACAGGAATAACAGGGTCAGCTTCAAGAGGATCTGACCCCTTGTGGAGCCCCTAACATCCCATCCCTCCCACATGTGCCCGGGTAAGGGCTCTCATCTCTGCTGGCCTCATCGGGACCTTGGGCTTATGAAGCAGGAAACAGGGCTCCATCTCACATGCTTTACTGGAGAAGAGGAGGAAGGGGTTTTCTGCCCGTGAAAAAAAGAGTGCTGTGGCTCAGATGGCAAGGCGGAAAGTCAAAACTACAGAAAACAAAGATGAGGTGACTCAGCCTGAAGAAATAATGGTCCCTCCAAGAAACAAAGAAGACTCTCCTTTTTGAAACGTCCATTCTTTAAAAGTCACTCTTCCTGCAGTCTCAATGCTCCCTCCTCTGCACTTTAGCAGAGCAGCTTCTGAACCACAATGTAACTCACCAAACACAATCTGTTACCCCAAAGCCTCCTGCCCTTTGGCCTCAGAAGCTGCCCCACACACCTTCTGGCGAAGTGCAGGAGTCTTCACTCAGTGGAGAGATCAGGTGGAGGTCAGGTGGAGACTCACTCACCAGCCAGGGACCAGCGCTCTGCAGAGGACTGGCCCCACGGGAGGGGAATGAGAAACGAAAGTTAAGTTCTTGGGAGTGGAAATGAAACTAAAAAAAGCAGAGCAGAAATATAAACAATGAGTCATTGCAGGACACTGGGGTAGGGTAATACTTCAGTATGTTCTAGGGCCTGCACCAGGGAGGTATTCATTCGATTTTTTCTTTTTCCATTTCAATTTCCTCCAGCAAGAATATCTGAATGACAGCAATGTGAATCCCAATGATACATTCGACAGTTTGCCTGAATACTCAGAATTTTAATTCAATTCTATAATTACTGCTTCAGCTTATTTTATATTTAGGTCCTAAAAAACTTGCTAGGGATAAAATAAGTATTTGAAAAATCTGGGTACCTGCCCTTTGTAAAGCAGACTGTGATGGGGAAGATAATCAGTGATAAAGGCCAGTGAATTTGAGCTGGTACTGTGAGTGTTAGCAGTTGTCCTTGCTAATGGTGACAATAAAAAAAGGGGGGGGGCTTTCAGTGTGAGCCTATTGACAAAATTTTTCCACATCATTGATCTTGGAGTTCCACCAAGTACTTACCAGTTTCTGTTCCTCATCTAGGCAGGCCAGCAGGGGAAGTCTTCGAGAGATCATGGTGGTGCTACTGTTTCACTGCCACGTTATCAGCAACTGAGAGCAGGAGGAGCATGGAGGTGAACCGATGGTGGTGTCAAGTGTAGTCTTTCTCTGGGTAACTCTCCACCTCCATAATTGTTCACTTTTCCCCACTTCCTTGGTAAATGCTTGGTCCTTTTTACTCCGTCAATCAAAAGCAGAACTGAAACACTTTCTTTCCTATAAGTACCCTTCTGTCCTCTTATCTTGTTCTTTTGACTACATGGTTTAGATGTTGCAGCTACAAGGCTGTGGAAGCTCCAGAACAAGCGTCCCTGACAGACAAGACCACAGAGCTCAGCGATCTTCACACGTTAAGTGATAGGAAACATGTAGGGCGACTGAGAAGTCAGTTTCCTTAAAGCACAGATATTTTGGTATTGTTTGTAATCCACAGAACATTAAGCTAATCTTGGCTTAAATTCTCTTTAATTCACTTATATCTGAGGCAGGAATGGAAAATTGTATAGGTATGATTGCTGAGCCCTATTAGGTTTAAGTTTCTTGGGTATGAGTGAAGTTAGTTCTAACAATGAATCAATTCCTGATCTTCTTTAAGTGCAATGATAATCATGCAAATTTTGTACAAATTGAATCCTGAGTGCTGGCATTTTTTCCATTAGTGTCTTAGTTATCAAATAACACTATCAATGAGTATCCTTCTCCATCCAGCTCTGCCTCCAGTAAGTTTTATGAAGGCAGAAGGGGACCCTTCCTCTGCTGTTCCTTATTGTCTCAGATCTACTACAAAGTGTTGTGTGCAGGGAGTGATATTTAAACAGAAAGCCATGCAGTTATATAGCTATAGGTATAATGTTCATTACATTGAACATACTGATGATAATCATGATTCTGTTCTGTTGATGGTGCAATAGTCAACATAATTGCCATGGTCATAATAAAATTCTGGTATTATTAGCATTTATATAAACTCCTTTGACAAATTTTAACTATGCATTTTTCATGTATTCTGTTTTGTTCCTAAGATTTACTGAGATACTTATGTCAAGACCTGTTATTTATCTAAACCAACATACTATGATCACATTACTTCTTGTGCCATGTTTTTTTCCAGACCAGAAACAGTTAAAAATCATGGGCCCAAAGTGAGAGATCTTTCAATAGATTCCTCTCCAACAGTAGATGTAGGGACTAAAGGGAACACAGCTCTAAGGAGAATGTATATTCCCTGGGCCTTGTGAACATAATATGCAGGAATGTGGACCTTAGCAATGTAGTTGGCTCTGGAGATGGACTTTGAGTGGTGGCAGAGGGAGTATGGTTCATTTGGGCTTCCTATTGGCCCACACTTTTTTCTACCCTGACAAACTCTGATTTCCTCACTGCTTTCTCTCCAACAGAAATCTAATGTCTCATAGGAGGTTCCTACCCTTCCAGCCTCCAAACTGCGTTTGGGTTTCTGATTCCCTTATATTTTCCAAATGAACTTTTTGCACAAGATAATGAAATACAGCCATTTTTATTCAAATTCTTCAAAATTTATCCTCAATTGTTTCTAAAATATATGTCACCCTATATGTAATGGTTTTATTATTTCATCTTTTTTTTTATAAATTTTTTCATCTTTTTATAGTTCTTCAGCAGAAACCAGAGTCTTGAGTTGCCCAATTAGGAGCCTATGACCTACTATTCTGATTACCTTCCTTCTCAATATTCATGGCCAACATCCGACTTCTAAATGAAAGGTTTTTTTCTTTTCAATCACTTGCTGATAAGGTGAGACTGCATTGTTACCCATAACATGACCTCATTAAGAATCAATCTTGGCATCCAATAGTGCATTCCTAATGAAATTACAATCCACCTTTCAGCTTTTCCTGGAGCCATGTTCAGTTTATCTGCCAACATGTTAATGCAATTACACTGGTGGATTCAACAAAAACTCTCAAATATGAAGAGATAGGCATTTCCAACAAAACTCTCAAGACAAGCCACCAAGAACAAGTCATTCACAAGCCCAGATTCACATTCCCTCAGCTTTTTCTGAGTCACATCAAAGTCAAGTATACACATAAGCCTTCAACAAACCATGTAATTGGGTCTTTATGTGTAAGACTCCTGTTGAATAACTTTGACCAGGTCTTTTAGCACCTGCTGGCGTTTCCAAATATCTTTGTTCATGATGATTGCAGTAGTCAAATATCAAAGAATATGAGGACACATCTCCAGAATTGCATTAGGATACTGTGGGTGGTAAAGAAGCGATCAATAATGTTATCAAGCCCCTTGGGGTCACTGAAGAAAACAAACAGAGACCAGTGAATGAGCCATGTTCACTGCTGAAGAGACTGGAGTGCAGCACTCACAGACTTATTATCTATGGTCTCTTCTAACCGTGTAAGGTCTTCCATGGCTGCATCCCAATTCTGCATTAACATTCCAGAGGCAGTGTTCCCCAGAGTGAACTCAAAGCACTTCTATCCATTGCTGGAACCGACACTTGAAAGAAGTAAAGACTTTTTGCTGTTCCAGAGGAATTCCCACATTCATACTGGAAGGTTGCACATCTGTAGAATGTCTCTAAATATTCTCGCTTAAAACCATGCTTGTCTGCCAGGTAGTCAAATAGCATCTGACCATCCCTGGTTGGCTACATTTGCCTTCTGGTTTCCAGATCTTCAAATATCTTCACAATTGGTTTTGTTTCTGCCTGAAGCTGTTTCAGCTGTGCAACAACTGGTGTGTTTTTTCTTTCAAAGAAAAAAGGTTTATGTGTACATGCATAGTAAAGTCTACCATACTGGTATCACTAAGAAGACCCAATTTCCATTTTAATAATTCTTTCTCATTATATATCTTCTTCACGGACAGAAGAAGCACAACAGCGGAGAGAGTAAATGCCGACCCCAAAAATGCGTGATGGGAGTAGTCAACTGGTGCTCTGTCACCTTTCAAGAGAAGAAGAGATTTTCAAAAATCTCTTCCCAGACAAGCTCAAAAACATCAGGTCCTCTTTGTAACCACAACTTTCAAATTTTGGATTGGTCCAAAGCTTTACAGCCCAAAGCTGCCTACTTCAACCTCAGAAATGCATAATGTATACTGCAGTTTGAGTTTTGGAAGAAAGGGATTTGTTGGGGGCTAAAGAGAGGGATCCTGATAAAGAGCCAGTTTTTACATGTCTTGTTGTCAAAAGGATCTCTTTCTTCACATTCCAAAAGCACTGCACCTCATACAAACATCTCACACAGAGTCTGGAGGGAACCCATCAGTTCCCTGGGGCCCAGGATGTGGGTTCAGATCATAGATTCAAAGGGAGGCAAGAGTAAAAGGATGAATATGGGATTTGTGGGAGGCACAAGTCCTAGCCCACCCCTGTGCACTCCACATAAACACACTCACAAACACTGAACCCTCCCCTCCCCTCCAATTTTCAACAAGGTTTATGAGTCAAAAATAGAGTACACCAAAGTCACTCTACTGTATATCTCTGCATTAACCACCATACTCCAAATCATCCTCTTATCCTTTCTCAATGGTGAGAATGAAGAATGGGACAAACATTTGAAAAACATCTGGTTGTTTGTTATGACATAAAATATATTGACCTAAAACCCAGTAAGTCTTCTTATAATAAGGACAATGATCTGTCTGTATTTCTAGAAGACTGGACATGGGACCCCCCCCAGCCCTGCATGAACAGTCACTTCAGAAGCAACTCTCCCCCCTCGCACTGGGGGAGAACAAGCTGGTCCTCATGCCTGAGGCTGCCACAGTCGATCAGCCCACTGGGAAGAGTGAGGTGAACTAGGAGAAAATAATTGAAAACACAAAAATACGAGATAGAGAGAGAGAGAGAGAGAGAGAGAGAGAGAGAGAGAGAGAGAGAGAGAGAGAGTTAAAAGCAGAGCTGGAGTCTTCTTGACAGTGGTATCAAGGACCTTTAAAATATGTATTGAGGTCCTTTTTTTGAACTGGAGGACAAGCATTCCAGTAACTGAAAAGACATGAATGTCCCTTGACAGTCATTTGTCAATAACAACAGTACAGATTATTCCGAGTCAGAGTCCCGGTCATCATAGCAATGGGCTAACAGGAAGGCAGAGGTGAAAGGGAAAATTTAGAAGATGAATTTCACTCACTTTCCATGGGTGAGTACTAAGATATAAATGTATGCGTGCACACAAAGACACACTGGAAATATCCACGTTGGAATCTCCTGTCTCATCAAAGCTCATCCAAAGATGAGGAAATTGGGAATTCCTGGAGACAGTGATTAGAGTAGATAATACTTGACCCAAGAGCACACTTCCCCCCCCTAGTTCTGAACTTGATTGGGGAAGAGTTAGAAATAAAAATGCAAAAAGGCATAGTGATGCCACAAAGTTCTGAATGAACATCCATTGTAGAAATCATGCCCCTCTTATCTCATTGGAGAATAGGCTTTTCTCTGTTCCTGAGAACTTTCAACTCATTGTAAATTTGTGACATTGAAAAATGAGCTAGTGTCAGCCTTACAGTCCAGGAAAATTGCAACATAACAGGGAGAAAGAGCCAGGGAGAGGGTTTCCATCAAGGGGTCAGAGGAGGAGGAGTCCTCCAAAGCATTATATACAAATTGATTACATAACCCTATAACCCAGTGGTCATATTTAGGTTGATATATAGTGAAAACATGTTAATAATTGTTACCTTGTCTAACAAAACCTGTCATATCAATGTAAGGGCATTTTTCAATATATACCCCCAGGATCCAGCCAGTGTCTTTGACAAATCTACCTCCCAGTAATGTTTCCCTAATGTGATAATGAGTGATCCCAGGATACAATAGTTATTATAATCACCTTTCTGATATGTATAATTTGTATTCCAACCTAACACATATCAAACTTGTCTCCAATCCAAAGAAATGGCAATATCTGGTTTATCTTCAAATATCCAGGATCATGTGACCTCTAGAAAAATTACAGGGTTGGGTGAGGGGTATGATATAACTTTATTCGTGACATTGTAGACGTATCCTGCGAACAACAAGAGTGGGAACTAGGCACAACTTAGTTCTGTTCGTGGAGAGAGAAATAACACTGCAGAAACATAATATGCAAGTGTGTTCTGGGAGGGAAAACATGGGTCTTAAGTCATGAGACCTCGTAAAAAGTGCAAAACTCTGAAAGAAGGTGAGAACAGGGTGGCTTCATGATACTGTGTATCTCCTCACCGGGATAGCATCAAACACCTTTCAGCTCTGAAATGATATAAATCCATAATGTTAAATATAAGCAAAGGAGACAGCACTAAAATCCATCTCCTCTTCAGATCAGGAGAATGACTGGGGACTATGGGCAGTAGCAGGAAGAGGAATGAGGCTTGAACCAGGCACCTGGCCACTCCCTCTTAAATATGACCATGTTATCAGCACCCTTCTTTGTCTCCTCTACACACACCTAGAAACTACACCTCTTCCCAATTGAACCCCCACCATCACAAGAATCCCATAGCCACTCACTTGCTCTAGTATTCCTTACCATTTAACACTTTCAGAATCCTGCTCAGATCAGGAGCTTTCAACATTCTGATGCTTCTTTCATGGAAAAGGGTGTCTGGCTTCATCACAGTCAAGGTCCTACTCCTAGAGATGACAAAAATTAACCCCCACAACTCTGACATTTTGTCCATTCAAAACCACTGATACGTCTTTATTCACCCCCATTGAAGCAATTGAACCCTCTTCCCTGGAGAACCTGAAAATGAGAGAATGGACTCCTGACCTTGAAGCCAAAAAACTATAGTCAGGTCCACCTTCATAGTTACCCACTGTGTGACCTTGAGAAGGTCTAGACCTCTCAGAAGCAGTTTATTCCTTCCAAAATGAAATACTTAACCTATCCTTCTCCATCTCCATGAAATCATATGAAATTATATGAAATGCATGTTTTTAAAAAATGGAAAACTTTGGTTCCTCAAAATAAACTATTATGAGTAATAGTCACTCTAGGGATGTGGATTTCCAGTGATATGACATGAAAGTGAGGTCTCAGAGCCTGGTTGGTGGTTGTTGGAGACATCAATTGCAGGAATACTGTCTGCACAGGACCAAGACCCTAAAGTCTGCTCTCCAGCAAGGATGCCCTCAGGCTAACATCTGAGATTTCAGATTCTTTGGGAAAAATTATAACACTAGGAAAAAAAGATATTATGAATAGCATAGTAATAGTCGTCTGAATTTCATGTGTTTAAAGAGTTTGATGCAGACCAGTAGGTATACAAGTTAAGATACAAAGATGCTGCCCTTCCATTCTGGCTTCAAAAGTACATGACCAAAATGGATCACTTATTTACACCAGGGCCAAAATATTACTTGAGATTCAAGTGTGTTTTTGGCAAATGAAGAGAACAATATAGAAGGACCTGGTCTCCTCTATTGCCAGGGCAGAAACTTAAATATAAAGGAGTAGTCTTCAATTCTGGGTACTTGGAAGAAGACAGACTTACCCACAAGACACAAAGCAGCTGTGAAATGAGAACCTGAGTTCGATACAGACACAATGGGTAAATAAAATTTTTGAAGGTACAGGGGTCTGATACAGCAACACATTATCACTAATGCTACTGACCCTACCTCTGCGACTTTCTCCCAGCCAAATTACCTACCACAGAACCTGGTTCATTCATAATAGTTATAGAACAGTCAAACCATGATTGGTGAACAGAAATTTAAGATAAAATGACATCCAAAAGTGCTTCCCTGAGTGATTTTTTATTCTAATTAACCACCAGACAACTCTAATGGCTTCAAACCTCTTTTCACAGCACAGATGGACCATCTCTGGTATCCCGCACATACCTTTCCATGATGCCATTCACATCCTAGGGAGAAATGAAAAACACAAGTCAAGAAGTAATAGGCACTCCCCACTTAAAAAGCTTAATCACATCCCCACCACCTCCTGATGTGGTTGGAATAAGATGGTCCCAAGGTCAGAGCCACAAAGTAAAGAAAAGACATAAACCAATCATTCCAAAAGACTCATGTGTGACTGTTTGGTTTCCTAAAATGTAGGAACAACTTTGACCTTTGTGGAAGCATGAGGCTTGCAGTGGAGATGGGACACATTTCTGAGGAAAACATGAGGCCCATAATATTTTCCCCAAGTTCATAAGGCTCCTCATAAGATGATTTGAATAATTAATGGTTTGTTAATTTATTCAACAAAAATGCCAAGTGATGACTATTACTTGTCAAGGATTATGCCAATATTTGGAGAATCAAAGATGAGTAAATAATCACAATATGCCTGAAGGAGTTTATGTGGCTTCTGCTGAGGGTACAGGCAAAATGTATTAATGTAGGCATATGTCAAGTTTCTCCTCATTTTATACACTGTCTATAAGTGACCTCATCAACTCTCTTACATTCAACACATCGCTATGTGCAATTGACTTCCAAGTTTTTATTTTTATTAAATTTTGTCTCTTAAATGCAGGTTAATATATTCCTTAGTAAGGAAGCCACAGGGACCAGTAACTTAGGATGTCTCATATGTCCCTTACTCTTCACCAACCATATTGTCTCTTCCCTTATACCCCTTTGTTCATAATGTTACCAATATACACTTGGTCACTGTCCTAAAAACTACAATATTTACCTGAACTCCAGTATCTACCAAGCCAGTTTAGTGCACGTAGCTAACAGTTTTTAGCCATCTGATCTTAATCATCACAGATTTATTTGTTTGCACAGATAGTATATTTTGTCTCCTTTATCTCAGACTTATTTTCCCCATGACACAAAATTTAGGCAAACTGCTTGGTCTATACAGGCAAAAAAAAAAAAAAATTTGTTTTGCTCCCTGTATCAGGACTTTTCTGTTGTATGACAAAAAAAGAATTAAAATAGATCAAACTGAGAAAAATAATTTGAGAACATTTATAATTTTAATCAAAGCTTAATTTTGAGGTTCAAATACTGTCATCAGGATCTGGTCTGTGTCAATCTCCAAATTGGGTTTGTTCCGTCTACACTGACTTTATCCTCAGTTCATGAAGGAAACATAAATCTCCTTGTATAAACTCCAGAAGAAGAGAGAACTCCCCCCAGTAATATGAAAAAATTCGAGGCCTGCATGTCATTGGCCTCCATTGGATCAGGTACCCATGTTAAAAGCCTCACTGTGTTGTTATTGTTGTAAGAATATAGAGCAACGTTGGAGGTTAATTTGCACATTTTACTGACTCAAGTTACTATTAATCTGAAGTAGATCATGATAGGATAAGATTCACGCTGTAATCAAGAGAGCAACCTACATGAATAATCTTTAAAAAATTGTAAGAAAAAAGGAAAACTTAAAATTTTGTACTAAACATATATTTTTAACTCAAAGGAAGCTAGTCAATCAGAAAGAGAACAGTGAACATTGCACTCTACATAGAAGCAAGTAACACGATAATCAATTAAAAAGAGCCACATCAATAACTACATTAAATGTTATTGTCTTCATCCACCAATTAAAAGACAGAGAACGTTGGACTAGATTAAAAGCAAGAATCAATTCTTGCTATGTACAAGAGACATATTTTGGTTTCAAAGAAACAAATAGCAAAAGTAAAATGAAAAACTTCTGGTCAAGATGGCAGCGTATATAAAGGCTGCACTCATCTCCTCACATGACCACGTCAAAACTACAACTAAATTATAGAAAAATCACCCTGGAGAACCACCGGAAGACGAGCTGAACAAAACTCTTATAACTAAGGATATAAAGAAGCCACATCAAAAATATTCAGAGGAGTTAGATGTATAATGCATAGTACTATATTTATGTGTGGCAGTTATTAACCGGAGGGATATCTCAACTGTAGAAATATCCCTAAGGAGTGAAGGGTCCCAGCCCCACACTGGACTCCCCAAGATGGACCACTATTGCTATGAAGAGAAGTCCCACACCAGCTGGCTGTGAAAATCCGCAGGGATCAGTCCAGGAGAGATGGAGGACTGTGGAAGGTTCCAGCATCCTCTTAAAGAGCCCAAGCAGTGACTCACTTGCTCACAATACTTGTCCTAAGCTTCAGAGAAGCTCGTAAAGTGCCAGGAACATATGGGGAGAAACTGAATTGTCTGGCTTCATGTTGAGGGCAGAGTGGCCACTAACTGTCCCTTGGACTAAAGTGCCAGCAGGTGCCATTGTTTCTTTATTGAGCCATGACCCCACACAGCCTGCAGGCACAGGAGGGCACCAAACTTCATCTCCATTCACCTGGCCAACATCCCTGTTACTCTGCCCTGTTGATTCTCTGAGATCTCACCTCACACAATACAAGCACCTGGACTGAACCTCTGTAAGAGGCTAATCCACAAAAGCAGCCAGCCTGAGCCCATGCTGCAGACTTTAGTAAAATCTCTAAGTTCTGCAAACAAGGAACAGCTGATCTCAGTGTGCCCTGTATCTCTTACTAAGCAGCGATCAGCTCTGCAATAGTGGCACCTGGCCTCACTTCACAGCACAGCCTCTATCTGACACCTCTAACCCAGAATAGGCAGCTATGAACCTCAAATCGTTCCGTAGCTCCTACCAGGTGGCCCTGGACTAGACACAGGCAGTGGCTGACCCTGGCCTGCACTAGAGCTCCTTTCGAGATGCCCCAGTACCAACATACTGGTGGCCAGCTTCAGACCACACCAGAGCACCGCCCAATTAGTGCCACAAATCACACAAGCAAAGCCTGGACTAACTAGGTAGACCCCAGAGCCCTGCTAAAGTGAATCCTTCTCTGAGGAGTAAGTATGTGCACAACGGCTTCTTCATGGCAGTCATGGCAAGTCCTCATAGCCAGACAGCCCGAGGGTCAATCCCACCCACTGACATGACAACAGCAATCAAGGCCCAACTGCAATAGGAGAGCACACACAACCCACACAAGCAACACCCCTGGAGCACCTGGCTCAAGCGAGACTGCACCACTGGCCCCAGAGGATACCTTCTACATCAGGCCACACTGCTAAGACTAGGAAATGAGGAACATCTACTTAATACATAGAAACAAACATAGGAAGGCAGTTGACATGAGGAGACAAAGAAACAGGTCCCAAATGAAAGAACAGGACAAAGCTTCAAAAACTACAAAACAAAATGGAGACAAGCAATCTACCAGATGCAGAGTCCAAAACACTGGTTATAAGGATGCTCAATTATCACAGTGAGAACTTCAACAAAGAGGTAGGAAACATAAAAAAAGCAGACAGAAAATGTGAAAAACAACTAGTCACTAATGAAAAATACAATAATTGAAATGAAGAATACATTACATGGAATCAATAGCCCATTACATTAATAAGATGTTTGAACCAGTGATTTGGAAGACAAGGTAGCAGAAAACACTCAATCGGAACAGTAAAAAGGAAAAATAATTTAGAAAATGAGGATAGTTTAGGGGTCCCCTGGGACAACACCAAGCGTAACAACATTCGCGTCATAGGGGTACCAGAGAAGGAGACAGAGTGCAAAGGATTGAAAACCTATTTGAAGAAAAAAATGACAGAAAACTTTCTTAACCTGGTGAAGGCAATAGACATACAAGTGCAGGCAGTGCGGAGTCCCAAATACAATGAATCGAAAGACACATTACAACTAAAAAGCCAAAAGTAAAAGCCAAGGAGAGAATCTTAAAAGCATCAGGAGAAAAGCTGTTAGTTACCTATAAGGGAGCTTCCTTAAGATGGTCAGCTGGTTTCTGAACAGAAACTTTGCAGGCCAGAAGGGACTGTCATGAAAATTCAAAGTAATGAAAAGCAAGGACTTGCAGCCATGATTACTCTTCCCAGCAAGGCTATCACTTAGAATCAAAGAAGACATAAAGAGCTTACAAGATAAGAAAGAGCTGAAGGAGTTCCTCACCACCAAAGCAGTATTACAAGAAGCGTTAAGACAAAAAAAAAGAATAAGAAAGTATCACAAAGAAAATCATTCTCAGTGACAAAGGCTAATACATTAAAAAAAAAAAAAGTAGTGGCTCAACCAACCCTAAAGCTAATAGAAAAGTTAAAAGGCAAAAGGAGGAAAATCACATGTAATTGCAACCATAAATTAAGGGGACACACACATACACACACACACGTAAAAATAATGACAAACGTATAAACGAGGGGAGAGTAAGTAAAAATGGTAGTGCTTTTAGAAAGTGATCTAACTTAAGTGACCATCAATTTAAAGTAGACTGTTCTAAGCATAGCTTGAAGCACATGGTAATCACAATCCAAAAACAAGAGATATACAAGAAATAAAGAGAAAGAAACCCAAATGTAACACTGCAGAAAAACATCAACATGCAAAAGAAGAGAGAAAAAGAACAAGAAAGGAACAGAGAACTACAGAAACAATCAGAAAAGAATAAAATGAGGTAACTTAATACCCATCAATAATTACATTAAATGTAAATGTCAACTGTAACAGAAAAATTTTTAAAAATATTTTAAGTGATAAAAAATATGTGCCATGCAATAAAAAATCGTAAGATAGCACATGTGCACATTAATTTTACAAAAAATATCTTAATACCATAAGTATTATAAAATGAGGGAAATTTAATAATGATAAAATGTTCGGTACTCAAGAAGATGTAACAATTATAAACGTATAATCACCTAATGGCACAGCTTCAAAATACACAAAGTGAAATAGAAAGTATTAAAATAATTATTAGACAATTCAATAACAATACTTAGGTATTTCAATAATTCACTCAATAACTGATAGAACAGCCTGTATGAAAATCATCAAGTTTGCTGTAGACACGACTGACACTGTTTACCAACTGGACCTACCTGACATCTAAGGTCCATTTCACCCAGTGAATGCATAATACAGATTCTTTTCAAATTCACATAAAAAATTTTGGACATACAATATTTATGGCCATAAAGCAAGTGTCAATATGTTTAAAATACTGAAATGTTAAAATACATGTTTAATGATTAGAAAAGAAACAAATTTGAAATACACAGTGGAAGAAAATGAAAAAAAATCACCAAGAATTTTTAAATTAAATAACATGTTTTCAAATATCCCAAGGGTTAACAAAAAACTCACAAAGCAATATAGGAAATAACTCGAATTGAATGAAAATAACAACTAAATAACCCAAACATATGGAGTGCAGCTAAAGCAATGCAGTTACCTCAATAAAAACGGTAACAGAAAAGATTGTGTCAAATCAGTGGTCTACATTCCTACTTTAAGTAACAGGGGAAAGGACACCAAATTAAACCCAGTACATGCACACACCCAGACACCCCCCCCCCACACACACACACACTCACACACACACTTATGTCTGCATGTGCATATGCACATACACACACTAAGTAAACAGAAATCAATAATATAGAAAGGTTAAAAAATTGATAAAATCAGGTTTATTCTTGGAAAAAATCAATAAACTTCACCAAACATAAATAAGTTGATTTTTAAAAAAATCACCAATATCAGGAATAAAAAAGGGGACATTACTGTGAGTACTGGAGAAATTAAAGGGGTTCTAAAGGATTATTATGATGAGACTTATATTGACCAATCAGACAACTTACAGTGAACAAATTTCTATAAAGATGTACATTACCAAGATTAAAGAGATGTTAAAATTCTAAATAAGCCTAATACAAGTAAAAAAATAAGAAAACAAAAAACTATTTTAAACTTTTCCAAAAAGAAAAATCATCAGTAAGACGGCATCACTGGTGAATGTGTTGAATAATTAAACAATAAATAATACCAGTCCTTCAAAATTGTTTATTCAAAAAGTAGAGAAACTAGAGAAAAATCTCAACTAATTTCATAAGGAAAAAAACAATTCTTGGGTCATAACAACTTACCTGGTAAACACCTAACACTAAATAACAGGGACCTATGGAATATCACTGGACACAATAGATCTTCTTACCACAGTCAAATTTTTGCACTTCTCTTTTAAATTAATAAAAATGAGGTTTCCCCTGTTATTCATGCATTCAATTATTCCTATCACCTCTAGAATAGATGCAGGGAAGGGGTACTGTAAGACCAAAAAAAAATAGTGTCACCAGTAGAAACAACACAGCAACACAGCAGAGAAGGAAACTTAGTCGACATCTTTCTCAAATCTCACACGCTGGGGCTTCTTCCCAAGTCCTACCTGCAGCATCTCCATGGCTGAGCCCTGCAACCGATGCTCCAGATCGGCGATGAGATCTCTCACCAGCTGGCTCTGCTGGACCAGCTCATTCTCAGACTCTGCCAGGATGTGTAGGATGTGTTCCTCCTCCTTCTTCAGCTTTTGCAGCTCCTTCTGCTCCTCACTGTCCAGGATTAACTTTAGTAGTCTAATGCCATCCCGGACACCCTTTATCTCATTTTGTATTTGTTCCTTCAGAAATGAGAAAGAGAGAGAGAGGGACTCAGGCTATCAGGCAGAGACTGGGAGTCAGGACAAGAAGTATTTGATTAGAAAGCCATCACAAGGGAGAAGTAGGGTAATAGGTCACAAATTCTTGGGAACTCTGAGCATCCCTGGTCTTTTGCCTCCACTGAAATGAAATACCATTGAGTTGCGTCTTGGTTACCGAGTGGAACACCTGAGCCAAAATGGGACACCTGGGTGTGGCTCAGCTTTTGCACAGCTGGCCAGGACAGTCATGCCTCCCTGTGTAACACCTGACCACTGCCCCGATCCTCTGCCTAACGTTAAACACTGAGGGCAGAACCATGAGCCACTGGCCATTGTCTTCCCCTGGAAGAGTTAAAGGCTGAAATTCACAAGCCATTCACACCAGAGTCTCTCTATGAGAATATTTCCATCTGAATATGTATGTTCATTTGTGACATGTTTATAAGACAGCCACCACCCCCATCAGAAAAAGGATAAGAAGAGAGCCAATTAAATGAGATTTGGACACATCAACTGTCATGAAGAAAAAGAAGAGGAGCTCCTTCTGACCAGCACCCTAGGTCATGCCCAGATTGCTATCTAACTCCCTCAAGAAATGTCTCCTCCTACCTTCCAGGAAGCTCCCTCTGCTCTGATGTCACTGTTAAACGCCTCAGCTTTCTTCTGCTCCCTCCTCAGCCTCTCCAGAGCTGCCTGGAGCTTCTTCTGTGGGAGTGGAAAGAACCACAGTCATGACATGAGCTTTCTCAGCATCAGAATAGAGGATGATGGGGAAGAAATCAGGCCAATCCCTGAAGAGGCTAGTTTACAGACACCGAGATGAAAAATTGGAAGAAAACCTGAGGTGGTAAATGTTTCCTTTAAGACTCAGGTAACAGAAGTCACCATCTCTGCTTCAGGGGATGACTGATTCTCTTTGTCCTACAAAATACCTATCCTGCATCAAGGAAAGAACATATATTTCAATCACCCAGCTCCTCAGTTACCCATGTTCACAGGGGAAATGACAGCATTGCTTGGGCACAAAACCTCCACTTATTAGCACAAGGTACAAAAATATCTACTTCTTGTTAAGAGTCTGTACTGTGGCTTCTCCTTTTGAGATTGGTTGGATTGCACAGAGATGGTCCTCAGGCCTCAAAAGGTGAGCATAGGTAGAAAAGTGATCACAGCACTCAGGTCTATGGTCACAAGGTAATTAGAGTCCAATATAAAGTGAGATTTCCCAGCCTGTACTGTCTTTCCTCCATGCAGTTCTCTTACCTGGTACTCCTGGGCTACCTCCTCTACGAGGGACGTGTGGTGACCACGGTGCTCCTGAGACCGCTCGCAAAGCCAGCAAATGACCTTCCCATCCTCCTTACAGAAGAGCTGGAGTTTCTCTCCATGGTGCACACAGAGATCTTTCTTCTGCCCCTCCTCTGGGCTCACTGTGACCTCCCTGAACCTCTCTACTATATCAGCCACAAACCGATTAGACCGCAGATCCCCATGTTGGTAGGTGGCTCCGCACACCGGACAGCTGCTCTCTCCTTCTTGTCCGATCACACACTCCTTGTCTGCAGTGATGCAAGCTTGGCAGAAGCTGTGGCCACAGTCCAGGCTCAGGGGATCTGTCAGGAGCTTCAGGCAGATGGGGCAGGTCAGTTCCTCCTGTATGTTCAGCAGGATTCCTGAAGCCATCGCAGCTGCGCCCCTGCTCCTACCTGTCCTGACTTCTGAGGCTCCTCTTGCTCACAGATTCCTGCCTGATTGGAAAGGTTAAAAGGGGGCAGAGTAAGAAAGGAAGGAATAAAATACTAACTGTGTAGAAATGAAGGATGGGCCAATACCAAACACTCAAGGACAAAAAAAAAAGGTAGAGGAAAAGGAAAGGAGCTTGGTGATGTAATTAAAAGAACTTTCACAAAAATTTTAACCTTGGCTTTTATACATATGAAATAACAAATTTCATTTTTATGTGTGCAATGTTTATTTCCCTTTACTTTTACTGAACAAAAATATGATCTGAGACTTTTTCTAACAAGATCCTTGTGTTACCCACTATCGCTCTTGCTTTTTCTTTCCCATGCCCAAATACACCTTCAATGTTAAAAGCACCTATGTATGCATCTCTGCTTTTATACCTACTCTTCTCTCAAAATGCAATGTTTCCTCTCGTCTCAGTAGGATTCACTCTTTTTTTTTTTTTTTAAAGATTCTTTGGGGAATTGGGGAAGGGGAACAGCCAAGTTGTTGTCCTTCAATCTTAGTTGTGGAGGGTGCAGCTAGCTCAGCTCCAAGTCCAGTCGCCATCTGGCTGCTTGTCGGCAGCTTGCAGCCACTCAGCTCAAGGTGCTGTGTTCAGTCATAGTTGTGGGTGGGCACTGCCCACCATCCCTCTCAGCAATCTTGTTGTTAGGAGCATGTGCTCTCACCAGCTGAGCCATCCTGTTGGCAGCTTAGCGGCAGTTCAGCTTGGGCGCAGCTCACTGGACCATATGGGAATCGAACTGGCGACCCTGTTGCTCAGAGTTCACACTCTTAACCAACTGAGCCACTCAGCTGGCCCCAGATTCACTCTTATACTTTACGAAATTCTCTGGTTACATGTTCTCTTATCAGAAAGACCTGTTCTGACTTGCTTATTTACAGTGTAACCATTGCCATTCCTTGCTGCATGTTTGAAATGATTTCCCTTATTATCATGACATAATATGTGACAATGTGTTTGTGTACATGTCAAGGGCAAACTCTTTATCAGGTGGGAACATAGAAAGAGTGAGTGATTTATAAAGTTCACTTATCTTCAATGTACACAGTTGGGATGAACCTAATGTAATCTATTCAGGGTTAACCTTAACAGGTCTACCCCACTGAGTTAAAGCAAACAGGACTATAAAACTTCATGGATCCTATTAACATCCAGAGCAACGAGGGGTATGAGAGTGGCAGCTCCAGGCCAGCTAGGAGGCTCTGGGGATTCTTGTGTTTATAGATGCTGAAATTCACCTTGGCCTGGAGATACACCAAGGATGTTGATAAGGGCTTGAAGGTATGTATGTATGTCTGTGGATGTGAGGAGGGAGACAGTATAAATATACTCACAGGACCAACAAGTCACATTTCTGAAAAATTGGAACACAGATGAAATGAATATCAGTCTCAAAATATTAGGGAAGAATATTGAACTAATTTTTTAACAGCAATGAATTACATGCTAGCAAGTGAACTAATACCTATAAACACAAAGTGAGCTTAAACAGAGTCTAAACCACTATGACCCTGACATTCACCTGAAAAGTAACAGCAAATTAAATAATCAACCATATATATATATATATATATATATATATATATATATATATATATATATATATATATATATATGAAAGAGCAGATGTGAAAAACACTGCTAGAAGGGGGCCGGGTGAGTGGCTCAGTTGGTTAAGAGCTCGCTCAAGAGTGTGAGCTCTGAGCAACAGTGGTTCGAGTCCCGGCCCAAGCTGAGCTGCTGCTGAGCTACCAACAGGTGGCAGGATGGCTCAGCTACAAAAAACAAAAACAAAAAAACACTTCTAGAGAACACTGTACATTTTGATGAGAAATCGAATCATGGCAGGTGGTGGCGGGGGGAGGACATATAAAGGGTTGTCCAATAATTCCATTTAAAAACATAAGGATTGAACTGAAAGTTGAAAAAGATGAAGGGAATATGGCATAAGGGAGAGGAAAAAATATATTAGGTAAAGGAAATGTCCAGTTCATGGAAGACATATCACCTTCTCTGAGTGTGAAAATGCCAGTGTTTCTGGTGTGCAGAAAACTGCTTGGCTTTAGTATCACATGAGTGTGCAGTGACCATGATGTATGGTCCTTCCCAAATTATGTAACATTTGGGGACTGTTTCCCAAATTATTCATGAATTCCCCTCAAGGAAGAGGAGGGGACATATTTATCTCTGCCCTTGGGCTGTGGAATGTTGTGAGGCGGATCCAGTGTGGAATTGGAAGATCAGTAGGGCACATGCACAGTTGCCCAGGGGAGAGATGATGAGCGCTTCAGACGAGGTGATGAAGGAAATGGAGAGCAGGGGATGAGAGCGAGACACAAGAGGAGGTAAAGAGAAAATGTTCACAGTTCGATTAGATACCTGGGACAACATCAGGCCTGGTTTCTTTCTTCCTGTAAAGGTAATACTGGCTTACTCTTCTCCTAGTAAGTTGGTGTTTTGTTTTTGTTTTTCTGGGAAACTTACAATAAAGTAGGTCAGCTGCCTTGCAAGGCCACATTACTGACAGCAAAAATGGCCTCGTGTAAAGTGCATGTGCACTAGGAAGGCTTATATAGATTTAAACACCAGTTAGTAAGCAGAGGCCTCACTTTTCACAAAGGAGTTGTGACTCTTATAACCAACTGTGTCTCTTTTAAGCCCCTGGAAGTTGTTACTTATGGGTTTTCACAAGGCAATCAGTCCTTTGTAGCTCTAGGCTTCCATAAGGTATGACAGTTTCACACACATCCACTTAGTCTGGCTACTTAAAGGGCTGAGATATCAAGGATAAAGTACTTCCTATACCACTGTGAAGACCATCACTGACAGCTCACCTGAGGCAGCCATGATGACATACTGTCCTGTGTCCTTAGCTAAGAGACCCTGGCAGTTCATGTCTTATCGGGTGTCATGGATGGGAATGGCCATCCAAATGGGAAATGATGCTGCTGTCAGTCAGAGGGGATATCACAGAGTGGTAGCACAGTGATGCTCAAATTCTCACCTGGACAATATATGGCCCTGTTGCTACAGTCTAGCCTCAGGGGCTCTATCAGGAATACTAGGTAAGGGGACTATGAAGCAAACACAGATAAGAAAGACCTCAGCAAATATTAATGTCATGATTGTTGCCAAAGTTTGATGTAAAAGAAAGATCTCCAGTAGGGGACAATAAGTTTTCCCTTTGCTCTGTGATAGGGAGGGGAAAGCTATACATGCTGTGCATGGAGATTAATTTAGACCCACTAACAATGTCCACTGGTGCCATGTTCATCACACATGAAGGGAAACTGATAAGGAATGAGGAAGAAGGAGAACTGGAAGTGTAATACAGCTAATGGTCCAGATACTGAAAATAGCCCAGAGGACATATTCAGGTAGCTCCTGGCTGCAGAGACTGTGGCCCAGATCAGACTCTGATGACAGCAAGATCAGAGGTAGACATTATATCAGGGGTAGATACTAAATGGCGTCTACCCCTGTTTATGACTCAAGCTGTAATCCAAACATGGGTCTGGGTCCTCCAATTATTTCTTTTCCCATTTAGGATCCAACTAATGCTGAGATGCATCAGGAGACTATAGAGGAGGCTGGAGCACAGCATGCAGCCCGCCTTGGGGCTGTGGAATTATTTTCACAGTGGAGCCATTAACAGCTAAGGTGAAAGCAGCTGCACTCACAGGACTTAGGGAAGTGCAGAGAACCTGAGTCACACGGGGAGGATGACCCCACCCCTACCTAAGCAGTGCCCAGAAGCTTAGGGTTATAGGAAATGG